CATAACTATATATTCAGAATTTCATAACTATATATCCACAGTGAATGAATGAATTAAAAATCCACAATGAATGAATGAATGAAGTAAAAATTCACAATGAATGAATGAATGAAGTAAAAATCCACAATGAATGAACTAAATATCCACAATATATGATTGAACTAAATATCCACAATGAATGAACTAAATATCCATAAATTCATAACTATATAACCACAATTTCATAACTATATATCCAGAATTTCATAACTATATATCCACAGTGAATGAATGAAGTAAAAATCCACAATGAATGAATGAATGAAGTAAAAATCCACAATGAATGAATGAATGAAGTAAAAATCCACAATGAATGAGCTAAATATCCACAATATATGATTGAACTAAATATCCACAATGAATGAACTAAATATCCATAAATTCATAACTATATAACCATAATTTCATAACTATATATCCACAATTTCATAACTATATATCCACAATAATGTTATTGCTGAGAGTCGAACCTGGTTTTTTTTTTTAAAGTGGGACACGCGTTTTTAATCAAAACGACGTCGTTTTGAACCGTATGCACCATGCGCATGGTACATTCGGTTGCACAGCATAACTATTGATCTTGTAAAGTGGGCACAATTTCACAATGGTGTTGTTTTCGTTGAAAACGATATCGTTCTAATTAAAAAAAAAAATTATTTTTCACTTATTGTTAATGACGTTTCTCTCTTTGCAATCGCACAGTTTAGAAATTATGAATTTACTGTATAGAAATTATGAATCTACAGTATTAGGTTTGTAAACATGTGATAGAGCTATATGTTCATAATTTTATAAATATATGTTCATAATTATAGAGCTATATGTTTATAATTTTCGATGTTCATATTCCAATTGCTGAACTCTGTATTCACAAATCACAAAACTATATGTTCATAATTTGATAATTATACCGTTTAGAAATTATGAATATGCAGTATAGAAATTATGAATCTACTGTATAGAAATTATGAATCTACTATATTTAAATTATAAATCTATGGTATAAAAATTATGAATCTACCGTTTAAAAATTATGAATCTACAATATAGATTTTATGAATCTACATTATAGAAATTATTAATCTACTATATTTAAATTATAAATCTATGGTATAAAAATTATGAATCTACAGTTTAGAAATGATGAATCTATATAGATTTTATGAATCTACATTATAGAAATTATCATATTATGGAGGATAACAGTGCCACTAACGGCACCGTTACTCAACCACATGAAAACGGCGTTGTTTTAGTACTTTAAAAATGTACGTTGTATTCATAGAAAATACATTGTTTGAGTACTGAAAACACATTATTTTGTATAATTTCAAATATTGTACATTCAGTACACAAATAATGTACTTTTAGTACTTTAAAAATGTACATTGTATACTGAAAACACATTATTTTGTGTACTATTAAATATTGTACATTCATTACACAAATAATGTATTTTTAATATATTAAAAAGGAATAGGTTCAAATTGACCATTGAACGAAATGTGAAAGTGCACTTTAGCCCCTGAAAGAAAGAAAAAAAAAAGTACAATTAGTTCACTCAACACTCCAAATGTATGCAATTTCACCTGATAGTAGGTTAACACTCCATTTAGCAGGTTGCATGTTGACGTGAATGATGACTTGACATTTTTTCTAAATTTCCTTTTTATTATTTTTTGAAAACTCTTTTCTTGCATAAAATCTACTGCAATATATATTCATTTTTTTTTAGAAAGATATATATTCAATTTATATAATAATTAAGATGTTAATAAATACTTCCCCTGTCCTATTTTATCTACCATACTTACTATTTATTGGGTCAAATTAATTTTTTCTTCTTTGTATATTTTCTTTAATATATATTTTTTACTTATTTTTAAATTTGATTTTTTTTTGGTGTTTAATAGTGCTATTAGTGTAGTTTCTAAATATATAAATTTTGTATACTAATACTAATTAAACTTAATATTACAAAATTGCATAACTATAAATCCCGAATTGCATAACTACACATCCATAACTTCATAACTATACATTTAGAATTGCATACATAAGTACACATCCATAACTTCATAACTATACATTAAGAATTGCATAACTACACATCCATAACTTCATAACTATACATTCAGAATTACATGCATAACTACACATTCATAACTTCATAACTATACATTCAGAATTGCATAACTACACATCCATAACTTCATAACTGTACATTCAGAATGTGAAATTATAACTTCATAACTATATATTCAGAATTGCATACATAATTACACATCCATAACTTCATAACTATAAATCCAGAATTGCATAACTACACATCCATAATTTCATAACTATAAATTCAGAATGTAAAATTATAAAATTATGAACATATGTTTACGTAACTAACGGCAATCGAAAATTATTATTTTTTTATTTAAATAAAACGACGCCATTTTTGTTGAATTGTTGACGAGGATGCATGTACGTATGTGAATTACTGTAGGCAAATTATGTCGTGCATCCGTGTGCACCATGCATGGTGCATACGGATGCAAAAACGACGTCGTTTTGACTAAAAACGCGTCTAATTTTTTTTAAAAAAATAATTCAGTTTCGATTTTAGTCAACAACATTATGTTGTGCATAATTTCTGAATGTATAGTTATGAAATTATGGGTGTATAGTTATGCAATTCTGGATTTATAGTTATGAAATTATGGATGAGTAGTTATGCAATTCTGAATGTATAGTTATGAAGTTATGCAATTCTGGATTTATAGTTATGAAGTTATGGATGTGTAGTTATGCAATTCTGGATGTATAGTAATGAAGTTATGGATGTGTAGTTATGCAATTCTGAATATATAGTTATGCAATTTTGGATGTACAGCTATCCAACTCTGATTTTTTTTAAGTCGACATCAAAACGACGTCGTTTTTCTATCCGTGTGCACCATGCATGGTGCACACGGATGCACAGCATAACGACTCATTCTTGTGGATACAAATTGGCCTTTTGCAAAATGAATTATAAATCTAGCCCATTACGATCCATAAGCAAATTATTATATTGATCATGGTCCACATAGTGATGTATAAATTATAAGAAAAATATTTTTTTTAATATACTAAAAGTACATTATTCGCATATTAAAAATATATTATTTTGTATACTATGAAATAATGTACATTCAATACCCCAATAATGTAACTTTAGTATATTAAAAATGTACTTTATATTTGAGTATTAAAAATACATTATTTTATATACTATCAAATAATGTACATTCAGTATACAAATAATATACTTTTAGTATATTATTTAAAAATATAAATTGTATTCATGGAAAATACATTATTATGTATATACTATCAAAAAATATACATTCAGTATACAAATAATGTATTTTTAATATATTAAAATGTAACTTGTTGTTGGGGAATATACAACGGCATACTGACTCATACCTATGAAATACATGCTCGGACTCAACTCTACAGGTCGTGGTGGGCCGTCGTTGTTCTGGTCTGACACGAGAATAGCACATTACTGACCTGACATGGTCGGTTAGAGCCCGAGCCCACGGTGTAATAAGCCCTTAGAAGGGCACATTGGTGACCAAGTTTGATGATCATTGGCTAATCACATATACTTCAGCACATGTCCACTTCTCCATAGGCCTCCGAGCTGAGATGTCGAATGCATGAAGGACATGTGGACATGTGGTGCACATGACGACCTCTTGGCATGTGTTCCTTCCAATATTTTATAAATCTTCTGCTAGATGCTTTAAGGTGTGACTTTTAACTCTCTCTTTAGAGCATTTATGAGCTCAAGAACCTCCCGTCTTCGGTCGCGATAACCCTAACCATCACTTCCCAATACATGACTAAACTTGCAGTAACTTAACTAGTTGACCTATGCCGGCCTGCAACGTACAATAGACAAATAGGTCATAATAGATATTGCCTAATCGACCAACCACCATTGCCAATAAGAGGGTACCAAGTTAGCCAAGTTGTAATAAGGTGTGATCATGCCATATGTAATTTTAGGCTTTACTCCCAGTCTTGAGCATCTCAAATCTATCATCTCCTATGCTACATGGAAACTCAGTGAGAGCAGGGCCCCAATTTAATATATATATATATATATATATATATATATATATATATATATATATATATATATATATATATATATATATATATATATATATTACTCATGTAAAAAACTGATGTAAAATTTGATTAGTTAGCATATACTTATCATCTTAAGACTAATAATTATTGTACTTCTCCAAAGGCCATTTCTTTTAAGTGCATCAAAAAAATCTAGCCAAGATTGAAATCATATTCAAATGCAATATTACCAAAATTAAACATGAAAGGATAATGGGATAATTAGACAAGACATAATTATTACTTATTAGTAAATCTAAACATAAAATTTGACTCAAAATACGTGTTCAACCCATTGGAAGGTTGACCTAGTAGCTTGGCCCGAGGCATAAAGTTATAACTGAAACCCTACAAATTCCGGTCAATATATATAAAGCACAAGAACAAGTTAATTATAACAACTTGAAAATTAAAATTAATTACAACATGAAGTTATGTTTGGTCAGGGCATGAGGCATCTTTAAGCCCGTGCGGTAACGATAGTCTGGAAAAAACATTGACTAGATTGGTTTTTCGATACGAAATGACCAGTTCAAACTCTCGACCTTTGTTAAGGTATGAGAGTACAATACCACTGGCGGCAATCAAGTTGGTTTATTACTAAAAATGAAGTTAAAATGAAATTACCTATGCAAATGCTGGTATCAGAGTATCAGGTGTGAATGAGATAATTACCTAAAATGAAATTTTCTTCTCAAAATTAAACATTTGAATTGGTCCGAGATAATGGAACTGAAAAGAATTACAATCAGGAAAGAAATTAAATAAACAAAGGATTATCATTATCAATGAAACTGATGATGAAGCTGGAAGGAGTTATGACACACAGTAGTAGTTTCAGACGAAGAGTATCTTACAACCGCCGGTTCACCTTTCAAGTAATTGTCGTCGCCGGCCGCCGGTTCCTCAGCCAAACCTTTCCTTCCTCCATTGTTTCCGGCGGCTTTATGCTCGCCAGCTTTTTCTCTTTCCACCTGTCTATACCTATGCAAATACGTCCTCACCGGCGGAGCATAATCGTCGAACCCTAGGCTCCCCAGCGCCCAGCAAACATCGTCGCCGTTCAACGTCTTGCGCTTCTCCCTGCGGCACTTCTCCGACGCCTCTCCGGTGACGAAGCCGATGAACTCCGAGACGCATTCTTGCATGGTCTCTTTAGCTTCTTTCGAGATCTTCGCATTCGGCGGCAATATCTGCTTCATAATCCGGCCGACGTTGGCGATCGGCAGCAGCCGATCTTGCTCTCTCATCATCATCACCCCATCGTCGTCGCCGGAAGAAAAACTGTATTTTTGTCCTTCTATATTATCATCCATTATTCTACTAAGAATGGAAAGCCAAATCTCGTGAAGCTCTCAAATACTGACACGTTACTATTTTGAATCTATACGCGATTTACTATGAATCCCTTTATAGATGTATGCATAATCGCTTTTATGTTTTGTGTGCCTATATACATATATGTTTTGTGTGGTTTAATAAAGATTGAGCTTAGTATTCATAATGTAATCAAAATTACACTATGTAATAGAATTAGGACTTATTATTCTCTATATAATAACGATTCTTAACAGTCTAAGATTCTTATTCTTGTAGGGTTCTAAGCCCAAAACATATATAAATAGAGGAAAAAGGAAAAACAATTTTTACTATTTACATACAATATTCATAAAACATATTCATCCTCTTTAAATTTCTACCATTTATTTTCTCGATAATTTCCCATATACTCATGATTTTAACAATAATGTTGGATAGTCGTGGATTACTCAAAAATTATAAAACCAACAATATCATTCTTATCATTCTAAACAGAAGAACATAATTATCCTAAATAAGGTTAGATTGTAGTTATAAAAAAAAATTTATTTGATTGGAAAAAAAAAAAAAAAAAGGAATAGAAGCAAAGCTTTTCACAGTTGATCAATCTAGATGGACTGAACAAATTATACAGACTAATATGATATTTTGATATGAAAATTATACACTATACTTACTCCATTGCCAATTTCGGGGTCAATAAATATTTTTTAAAGTTGTTTGTCGTGTATGGATACAGTGTGATCGATCATGTGCTTGTACTTTATTTAGCATTGACATAGTCCCCTCTTTCATATTTTTTTAACATTTTATTTGCTATAATTGGTAGCTATTAGCTAATCTTACTAGTTTAAGTATGCTTTAATCATATAATAATGTAAATATGAAAGATGTGGACGAATAAATGTGGTCCACGTGTGCTTCTGGCAGTGTGCAAGCTAAGCTACCCGACAAAACACTTGAAACACAATTCAAAATGTATGTCTCTAACTAGGATTAATCAAATTGAAACCCACTATAATTACACCACCATTTTACTCACAAAGTTTGATTCTTATTCGAGGGACAATAACTCTTTAACATGAATATCAAACCTTACCATAGTTATATGAATAGTTTACTTATTAATTATCATAAGCTACTAAAATAACTGCTAACCCTTTAGAAAAAACAAAACAAAACCAAAAAACACTTCATCCATAGAAATGAATTAACTCATACAAAAAAGTGAGAAGAGAGACAAGCCACTACATACAAAGATTGAACAACATTAGCTAACTCATGAACCACTCAATTTGCAGATCGATACACAAAATAAAACTCAATACTCTCAAAGGAAGAAGCTTTAAAATCAAATTTTTTAACTTTCATTGAATCTTATAACATTACCCTCTCATCGCTCTAAATAAATTTTGTTTAAATAGACTCTTTGACACAAATGCATTCTTATTTGGTAAGAGCAACCTCAAGTTTTTGCAGCCCAATTGAAAGAGAAAAAAATTTTATTATCATTAAAAAAAAACAGATACTTTATGCACCTAGAAAACATGTGCAGTGTACGTGCCCGATAGACACAGTTGGTGCACAAAACGTGCACTAATGCAATTATTATTATTATTTTTATTTCGTGGGCTCACAAAAATTATTTTTACTGCAAATATAGTTTTTTTCTCTTTCGTCGCTTTTGTCACTTATCTCGCCTTTAATTCATCCCTACTCTCCTCTATGTATATAAAAAATTATAAATAAATGTATGATGGAGTTGCTCTAATATACATTCTTTACTTATAAGGATTTTGCTCATAGTAGTGTGTTTTAGTGGTAGTCATTGCATGTCAATACATTGGGCCATTCTTTCAAACAGCCCATTCTACTACTATATTAGGCTGGGATTTACTCCAATTACATATCCTGGCAAATTATATTATGCACCGCGGTGCATAATCGATTATGCACCGCGCGTCTTTTTTATTAAATGAAAATTAACGGTGTTTGTTTCCGCCGTTTCGCACCCTTTTGCAAAAAGTAACTCTGTTATTCAGTGTCATTTTGTATACACTGCAGTTTCAGTTGAACACAACTACAGTTTCATTTCGATATAACTATAGTTTCATTCGATATTTATAGACTCAAATATGTGAAAATGTTATTTAATTTTATTTTATATACACTATAGTTTCATTAAAACACAACTACATGATCATTTTGATATAATTACAGCTTCATTGTACAATATACACTCAAATATGTGAAATGTTATTCAGTTTCCGTTTAAATACACTGCAGTTTCATTTCACTATAACTACAGTATCATTTTGATATAACTGCAGTGTCGGTTTAGATATACTGTAGTGTCAGTTGGTGTTTAATACACCAAACAAGCGGACTCCGTTAACTCTAACGGCGGGCCGTTTCTTTACTTAAAAAAACGGTGTCGTTTTTGACCGCGGTGTACATGCACCGCGGTCTATAATATAACGACTGCATATCCTATATTGGGCTTATGGATCATTCTTCGAATGGATTTTTCTTAGGCCGATAGAGGTCCATATAATGGGTTTAAACATGAATGGATTATTCCTAAGATAATACGTAGTATATAGGCAAATTATGTTGTGCATCCGTATGCACCATGCATGGTGCATACGGATGCAAAAACGACGTCGTTTTAATAAAACGCGCGTCCCCCCTTAAAAAAAAAAATCAGGTTCGATTCCCAGCAACAACATATGAACTAAAATTCCATAATCGATGAATTATAATTCCATAATCTAATCTATGAACTAAAAATTTCAGAATGAATGAACTAAAATTTCATAATCTATAAACTAAAATTTCAGAATCGGTGAACTACAATTCCATAATCGATGAACTATAATTCCATAATCAATAAACTATAATTCCATAATCTATGAACTAAAATTCCAGAATGAATGAACAATATAATGTTGTTGCTGAGAATCGAACCTGAATTTTTTTAAAAGGGGAGACGCGCGTTTTTTAATAAAACGACATCGTTTTGGCATCCGTATGCACCATGCATGATGCATACGGATGCACAGCATAACTATCCTAGTATATAGACATTTTAACAATTCTTTTAGGCCACTTTCTTAAACCCCATTCTAGATGGGTTAAATTGAATATTAATGAATATTGTAGAGGGCTTGAGAGTTGGGTTGGATTTAGGGTGTCAAGTGGGCAAAAACGCGCAAGCCATCTTAAATCAGAGAGGTTAAGGCCTAAATTTTTTAGCTCGTGAAAATGTGGATTTTGTGGACCGCAACTCAACCATATTAATATATAATAATATTTTTTAAGTTGGCTCGCGAGCGTGCATGATGCGAGCAAGGATTGAAGAATTATGGCACGCGAGCTGCCCAGTAAAAATCTGCAAAAATTAAAGCCCTCGGTGGGACAGCTCAACCCACATTGACACCCTAGTTGGATACGAGGTTTAATCCGTAATGATAAAGGTTTGCGCGTTGTAGGGTTTAGACATGATATTGGTTGGTGCAATGTAGATGAATCGGAGGCTTGTATTAGTATATTGTGTTTAGCGGATTTCAACTTGTTCAAGAGAAAAGTGATTTCTTAGTTGTCCTAAAGTGTCATTAAAATCAATCGTAGTCACTTGACTGATAGGAGGCGATATCTCACAAGGGCCTTTACGAAATATATTGGAAGCTTGTAAGCAAGTTATGAGGCGACATCTCCATCATCCATGCATGGAGCAAAATAGAGTTGCAGATACGCTATACCTCCTCCTCGCTTCATCTCGCCTATATATGCATCGTAAGTTCTCGATTATCATCCTATAGTTACCCAACAAATTATTTAGGGTAATTTTTTTAGTATTCCTCAATTTGAAGAGTTGCTCCGACCATAATAGAGGTGCAGATACTCTTACCTCTTCCTCGCTTCATCTCGCCTATGCGTTGTAAGTTCTCAAGTATCCTCCTATAGTTACCCAATAAATTATTTAGTATAATTTTTATAGTATTCCTCAATTTGAAGAGTTGCTTTGAGCATAAGGGCAACCCCAATAAGGGGATCTTCACAGTTTTTAAGAACAACATGCTGACTTGGAAGAGAGAAGGAGAAGAAAGAGAAGATTTGGGTACCTCCTGCAAAACCAAGGATTTTATCAGAGCAGTGGGTCCCACAAAAAAAATTCAAAAGGAATTAAAGTTGCTGCGTGCGCAGCAAAACAAGCGCACAGCGGGCGCGTGCACTCCACGCGCACGCTAGGTGCGTAATCTGAATGTTTTTTTTTTAAATTTCCTCTTTCATTATTTTGTTTTGCTTCCCCCCCCCCCCCCTTGCTCTGAGCATAAGGGGATCTTCACAATTTTTAAGAACAAACATGCTGACTTGGAAGAGATAAGGAGAAAAAAGAGAAGATTTGGGTACCTCATGCAAAACCAAGGATTTTATCAGAGCAGTGGGTCCCACAAAAAAATTCAAAAGGAATTAAAGTTGCTGCGTGCGCAGCAAAACAAGCGCACAGCGGGCGCCTGCACTCCACGCGCACGCTAGGTGCGTAATCTGAATGTTTTTTTTTTTTAAATTTCCTCTTTCATTATTTTGTTTTGCTTCCCCCTCCCCCCCCCCCCCCCCGCGCACGCGCGCGCCCTTGCTCTGAGCATATGGGCAACCCCAGTAAGGGAATCTTCACAATTTTTAAGAACAAACATGCTGACTTGGAAGAGAGAAGGAGAAGATTTGGGTACCTCCTACAAAACCAAGGATTTTATTAGAGCAGTGGGTCCCACAAAAAAAAATCAAAAGGAATTAAAGTTGCCGCGTGTGCAGCAAAACAAGCGCACAGCGGGCGCGTGCTATGTGCGTAATCTGAATGTTTTTTTTTTTAATTTCCTTTTTCATTATTTTGGTTTGCACCCTTGCTCTGAGCATAAGGGCAACCCCAATAAGGGGATTTTCACAGTTTTTAAGAACAAACATGCTGACTTGGAAGAGAGAAAGAGAAATTTGGGTACCTCCTGCAAAACCAAGGATTTTATCAGAGCAGTGGGTCCTACAAAAAAAAAAAAATCAAAAGGAATTAAAGTTGCCGCGTGCGCAGCAAAACAAGCGCACAGCGGGCGCTTGCACTCACGTGCCCGCTAGGTGCGTAATCTGAATGTTTTTTTTTAATTTCCTTTTTCATTATTTTGTTTTGCTTCCCCCCCCCCCTCCCCCCCCCCCCCCTTTCCCTTCTCCTCATTTTTCTTTTTCCTAGTCACACCTATAAAATCCCTTCAAAATCTTCACATTATTGAGGATGCCCTAATAGAGTTGCAGATACGCTTACCTCCTCATTGCTTCATCTCGCCTATACGTTGTAAGTTCTCGAGTATCCTCCTATAGTTACTCAACAAATTATTTAGGGTAATTTTTTTAGTATTCCTCAATTTGAAGAAATGCTCCGAGCAGAATAGAGTTACAGATACGCTATACCTCATCCTTGCTTCATATCGCCTATATATGCGTTGTAAGTTCTCGAGTATCCTCCTATAATTATCCAACAAATTATTTAGGGTAATTTTTTAGTATTCCTCAATTTGAAGAGTTGCTCCGAGCATAATAGATGTGCATATACGCTTACCTCCTCCTCACTTCATCTCGCCTATGCGTCGTAAGTTCTCGAGTATACTCCTATAGTTACCCAACAAATTATTTAGGGTGTTTTTTTTAGTATTTCTCAATTTGAAGAGTTGTTCAGAGCCTAATAGAGTTGCAGGTCGCTTACCTCCTCCTCGCTTCATCTCCCATATATATTGTAAGTTCTCAAAAATTCTCTTATAAGTACCCAACAAATTATTTAGGATAATTTTCTTTAGTATTCCTCAATCAGAAAAATTGCTAATTCTAGAAGATAATCCTACTACCGGCAAATCTTCTTCCTCCTTTCCCTTGTTTGGAACACCACTTTGAGCAGACAAGGGTAAAATTGCCCATTCACATATGCTTTCGAACCCGGTCGGATGATACACAAACCGCAAACGGAACCGAATAGAACGTAACCCGTCCATATATACTCTTTGTATTATAGACAGCAATACGAAGAAACAAAACTGCAAAAATAAAAAACAAAAAACAATTTTTTTTTTTTCTCTCTCTCTCTCCCCTCTCGCCAAGTCCTCCTGTCAAGAGCTTAGCCTTCGTACTCCATGAAACCTCTTCGCGTGTCATCACTCGTCTGAAACTGTTAAAGGTGAATTCTTTATATACCATTCCTATCTGACATGTATACCCATAGCTTTATTTTTGCGTATTTGTTTTTTTGCATAAACTTTTTTTTTTTTTAAATGTTTTCTACGGTTGACAAGAAATGTCAATTGATGCACGGATGATGCATAATCATTGAAACTCTACGATAAATCTCTTCATCTTCTCCTCTGCTTCTTTATCAATGTTTTGTTCAGCTTCGTTGCTTAGTAAGCATATACAAAATATAATGTACTCCGTATACGACAAACTTGTGTTGTTGTGCAAGTTTGGAAGTGATTTTGATTGTTTTTATGGGATTGAATGGAGATTTTGATTGCTGGGTTTAATCTTGATTGTGGGTTTCTTAGAGTTTTTGTTTTGTTAATCTTAATGCCGATGATGACGCATAGATTCCTATCATTGTATGATTGTAAGAGTGTGATGTTTGTTTTGAACTGCTGGGAGTTCTTGAATATGTAGGTAATATAAAATGTGTGGGATTTATATATGAAATGGTTGTGTTTCGATTAGGAAATGGATCTGGAATTCAGGCTGCAGTTTCTTTCAGTTAAGTTGGCAGTTAATCTATCACAAACTATGATCAAAGGGAATATGATTGTTAAAGTTGGGATTTTGAACAGTTGAGCTCTAGTTCTTACTGAAATTTTGTCTTCCTTTGAGAGTTGATAAGCTCATAAGGTCTACTATCATGTTTATTGATCATCATTCTAAAAAAAGAAGTTACGAATTTCATTCAAAAGTATATGCAACAGCACCACATTTTGCAAGAACATATAAACACATCTTTGGGACATGCAGAAAAGTTTAATAGTTTTGTTTTTGGTTTTTATCGGTTTTGTGTGATTACCCAATCATTTCATAGTCCAAAGTTTTGATTTTGATTGTGTGCAGATAAGTTTACTAGGTTTATGGAGGACATTGCCAATAAATCTTCAGAACGCTTCCCTTCCAAGAAATCTTCTGGCACAGATTCTGTTTGTGGGGATCGTAAGGTGTTTCCTCGAATTGGAGCTGAATACCAGGCAGAAATCCCTCAGATATTGGAATGTGATCGCGGGAAACTTACAGAAACATCGTTTAATGCAGGCATTGAAGTGGATACTTCTGATTCTTTCTCACTCGGTTTACCTGTTCCAGTCAAGTGGATATATAACAAAGCTCAAGTGAATATCATAGATACTACTAACAATCATGTGGTTGAAAGTAACCAGGATCACTCTGTAGGACCTGAAAACGGACAGACTACTTTGATTAATGTAGATGGAGAGCTCGAAATTGAATCTCCACATAACGTTATAGACAATGGGAAAACAGCGGGCTTACTAAATCTTCAAGAAAGGAAAGCACATTTGGGTAATTGTGATGGCTTCCATCTCGTTCCAGGCTTACCTAATAAGTGTTGGAAGCAAATTGAACATTCGAGCTTTCTCCTTGGCTTATATATCTTTGGGAAAAATCTTGCTATTATTAAAAGGTTTGTAGGGGGTAAGGAGATGGGAGATATATTATCCTATTACTACGGGAAGTTTTATAAGTCTAAAGACTACCAAAAGTGGTCAGACAGTCGCAAGCTAAGAGGCAGGCGGTGCATTTCTGGCCAAAGGCTTTTCATGGGCGGGAGGCAGCAGGAGCTCTTGTCACGTTTATCTTCTTGTGTCTCCGAGGAATGCCTTTCCATGTTGATTAAGGTACATTTGGATTGTCTTTTAGGATGTGCTAATTCATACCTTTTCGTGTCTAATTCAGTAACTGACTATATTGCAATACAAATACATCTGTTTTGAACGCCCTCTAATAAGTTAGTTATCACTCATCACTACCCGACTTTATTCTCTTATCGGTTCATGCTTGCATGTATTGTAAGTATCTAGTTACTTATAGTTATTTCAGTTTCACGGGCCTGCAAAGGCAGGATTTTTATGAAGCAAGTGTTGGTGGTTGCTTATCGTTCTTGAAATTTAGCGTGCAATGATTCTTGCTATCTGAAAAACGAGAGTGAAAGTTGAGACTACCTTAAAATGACATGTTATGTTATGTTATGTTTTCTATCATGTTTTACCTCAGTACAATTGTTGGGAAAAAAGGTTCTTCTGATGCCACATATGGAACCAATTTTTATCGTTTCTTAAACCCTTTTTGTAGATTGACGAAGAATTTAAGGTCTTTCTAAAAGCTCTTGGTTGTTGCATATATATACTTTAAGCACTAAAATGCACATTTTCAGCTTATTCTGATTACTGAGAGTTTTGAATATTGCCTAGGCTTCGAAATTGTTGGGAGATGGGAATATTACGCTGGAAGAGTATGTGTTTTCGTTAAGGGAAAAAGTTGGCATCGAGAATCTAGTTGAGGCTATAGCCATTGGGAAAGGGAAGCGGGATCTTACTGGAACTTCCATGGATTATACGAAAGCCATTCAGTCGCTCCCTGTTCGTTCTAGACTACAGAACACGAAACCATGCTCCTCTCTCACAGCAACCGAGATTCTAAACTTTCTGACAGGTAATTTTCGACTAAGAAAAGCCGAGTTGAATGAACTTTTCTGGGATGCTGTTTGGCCCCGTCTTTTAGCTAGGGGATGGCACTCAGAGCAGCCTAGTGATCTATCCTCTGCTGGTACCAAGCAGTCGTTAGTGTTTCTCGTGCCAGATGTTAGCAAATTCTCGAGGAGTTTAACGAAAGGAACTCACTTTTTCAACTCCATTTCTGATGTTCTCAACAAAGTTGCATCAGAGCCCAGCCTTCTCGAACAAGAAGTCATCAATGCTTATAACGACGAAGAACAGGAGGAGAAACACACGATAAATCCCGAGGTTTCACAGGAGCAGCAAAACAATCCTGCAAGAAATCAACATTCAATGGAATTCACAGTAGTGGATACCAGCCTGTTTACTGGAGTAGGGAGTGGCAATAAAGTATGGGAAACGAGAAGTTTGCCTCTCGATCGTTTGAGTTCAGATTCAAGCGAAGAAAATCATGGATCGGATCCCATGGATTTTGGTAACATCGAAGAAGTATATGGTGATGCAGATAACGATATAACTAGCATTTCAAAGGATGAAGAATTGCCTAATGGTCCAGTTTCATTGATCACAGAAGCAAAACCTCGATTTGTATCCATCTCAAATCACAAAACCGAGAACAAGTACATAAAGGAAGCAAAACTCGAGTCTCAATCGAGCCTCCCAGATGCTCAACCATCCCAGAACTTTTCATCAGATGACACTTCTTTCTTGAGCAGCCAAGGAGAAATACATGCAAGAAATCTTCTCGAAAACAGTCTAGCCTCCGAACAATCACATAAAAACTCTATCTTGGATAATCCAGAAGACGATCAAGGGCTCTCTATGAACACGCTGAACAATCCCGATTCCCTGTCAGCTGAGCAGCATTCTGAGATTCTAGAATCCATTAATGCGGGAGCCATTACAGAGGAACCCGAACCTCCCATCATAACTTGCGAGAGGCGAAGTAGTAGATACAAACCGAGTGCAAGAGCACTGGAAGCGATTGCATATGGTTTCATGGAAGCAAGAACGAAAAGAAAACGCAGAAACGAGAGTTCAACCTCAACGAGCTCTTCTCAGAGGAGTAAACGTTTGGTGGATAATTAAGAAGGAAGCAAATGAGAAGAATGATGGTAAGGAATTTAACGAAAGCTTGAAGATGAATGGCAATTCAAGGCATTGGGATTATATTTTTGTGTATTACCGTGACAGAAAGATGTATGATCTTTGTGAATTAGTGCCTGGCGTCTTTGAAGCTGTTGAGATACAACTTTAGTTTAGTTATTTGGTCTTCATTACTTCATTTGGGTGGTGAGATCAACTTCATCCAAAATTAGTAAAACATTGTAACAACTGTACTCTATTTTTATTCAATGTTTATAGACTAAATTGTACATTTTACAAAGATACATAACTTTTTTTTTTTTTAAGACAAACATGGCTGATGTTCCCACCGGCTACGCGCAATGTGCACGTGGCGTTGGATTATATTTTTTAAAAATACATTTATGCTTCTAGTCTAAGAGTATCACTAATATATATATTTTTTGTTTAATAATAATTTTGGATGAATCGGAAGTGAGAGATGAAAGGAGAGAGAATAAAAAAGCTGTCGAAGTGTGAGTTTTTTGTGAAGTTTGCAAGAGGAAAAAAAAAAAAGAGAGAAACACAATTGGTGTGCGTGCAACGTGCATGTAGTGTTTTTTTTTTTTTTTTTTTTTTTTTTTTTTTTCCTCCTTTCCCACTTGACACAAAAAGTTCTGGTATAAAAATCTCATAGTTGAGATTGTTCTAAGAGCATCCACTATAGTGTATTTTTTTCAAGTTTTTTTAGAATGAAATCTCTCAAGCCAAGGAGCATACTTGATGTGGGGATGAGATAATGGAAAAAGCAAATGAGAAAATAATGTCAGAATTAAAAGAAAAAAGTAAACAGAAAAGCTATACGCGTTTCGCGCACAGCTGGCCAAAGCCTGGCGCGTGCACTGCACGCGGGCGCGCGTGACTTCATTTTTTTATTTTGTATTTTTTAAATTCAATTTTGTTTTTTTTTTTTAATTTTTTCTCTCCCCTCCCACTAATAAGGATGCTCTAAGAGCATCCCTACAAGGGGCTTTTGGACCAGATTTTGAGGAAATTTGGGTGAGGTAGAGGAAAGAGAGGGAAGAGAGAGAGAGAGGGGGGTGGGTTGTCCAGCAAAAATTGGAATTTTGTAGTGGGTGGGTCCCACCAGTGAAGAGGGAGAGTTGCGCCTCACGTTCGCGCCCGCCTGGGTGCGTAATTTTATTTTTTTTCATATTTATTTATTTTTCTCTCCTCCCATTTTATCTTTTCTAATCACACTTGTAAAAACTTCACAAAATCCTCACACTATTGGAGATCCCCTAAGACTCTAAGAGCATCTCTAGTAGTGGAGAAAGAACAAAATGAAAAAACAAAACAAATGAATATGTTGTGGCGTCAAAGTGGCCGCCAATCTAACGCGCTCCAACACGCGCCCATTGTGGGCGCAAAGTGCGCATCCGACGCTCTTATTTATATATTTTTATTTTTTAGTACTTAAATAATATACTTTTTGTATATAAATAATATATATATATATATATATATATATATATATATATATTTATATATTTATTTATTTATTATTTTTATTTATGACGCACACAGTTGTGTGAACAAAAAATGATTGAAAACATTCAATCATTATTTCACGAACCATGGTCCACACATTTGTGTGAAACTATAAATAAAAAATATATTTTTAATATATTAAAAGTATATTATTTAAAAATATAATTTTTTTTTATATATTATCAAATAATGTATATTCAATTTACAAATGAGTTAATACCTAAAATTGTCCTCGACTATAGTGATTTTTCTCAATTTCGTCATAAACGACTTTGGTGACCTAATATAGTCCCAGACTTTTATGTTTCGCTCAATTTAGTCATCCGTTTGTTATTCCGTCAAATTGGTGTTAAATAAAGGGACAATTCAATAATATCAATATTGGCATCTCTTTACTTTCAACCTGTGAAGTGAGAAATCTCTCTTTCTTACACGAATTACACCCAGAGTTACTCTTAGACCTACGAATCAAATTTTATATTCGCAGCTTTATAAGTGATTTTGGGAGTAATTCATAAAAAAAGAGGGATTTCGCACTTCACATGTCTATGAATTACTAAATTGTCTATTTATTTAACAACAAATGGGCGGAATAACAAATGAGGGACTAAATTGATCAAAAACACAAAAGTCTGGAACGAAATTGAGTAAAAATACAAAATTCTGAGACTACATTAAGTCACCAAAGTCGTTTAGGACAAAATTGAAAAAAACCACTATAATCGAATACGATTTTGGGTATTAATTCATTTACAAATATACATTCATAGTCCATTCAATTATGTGGACCATAGTGACACAGTCCACACAATAAATTGTCGAAGACAGTGGCTCCAAGCCTAATGAAGATAAGTCGGCCCAATCGGTCTCCATATGAGGCCCAGTAATCCTAACCCTAAATCTCGTTACGGACGGTGTTGCCTCTGAACTGCACCTATATATATAGAGCTCACGCACATCTTCTCTCCATAGTCTCTGTGCTAGGTTTTCTCACCGTATCTCTCGTAAATCCAGTGTTTCATCTCTCTTATGCTACTACTTTATTCTTAGGTTTGATGTTGAATTCTGTGTTTGAGTACTGGCTGTGATGTTCAAAATCTACCTATTTTATGAGAGAATTTACTTCTCTTGTGATTAGAAAACCAATGGATCCTTCTGAGCCTACTCTGCATTTTATTTTATTTTTTTTTAAATTTTTTTTACTTGTATGTTTACATGCCATCGAGGTGAGGATAATCGATTCGGAAAGGATATATGTCGATCGGAAATACTTCCAGACTACAATTATCTGATCGATGGCTATTTCCGCTCTTTATCTCAATTGAATTCAGGGTTAATTGATATTTTTGTATAGATTTTACAAGAATGTGATATCATTGTCTAAATTTTAAATTTTAGATTATGTTGTGTAAAGTATTAATGTTAGTATCTTCTTTTTAAATAGGGGATTTAAAAAGAATAGTTGTATTATTTTCTTTTAATTGTTTTTGTTGATGAATGTAAAAAAAAAGGTAAAAGTATTGCTTTCTTTTCACTTTGTGATGAAAATTGCTTCTTCTTCTCAACTATGGAGTAAGTGAGAAGAAGGTAATGTCATTGTTTTTAGAGTGAAAAGTCATTGGTATTATCTTCTTTCTAATATTTATATGTTTCAATAAAAAAAATATAAAAGAAAGTATTTTATATAAAGTTATCTAGAATTTTGAATCTGCACAATTTTTTTTCCATTTTTGTAAAATTTGTCATTTGATAAAGTATTTATGTAGTTTTATAGGCGTAGTTTCGGAATTGTTCGATTGTTTGTACCCGGTTTCAGTTTATGTAAAGCTTTTTTTTTTCTGCCGTTCTGTCGTTTAGTGTACCGCCGCCTCCTTGCGATGTAGTTTGGTGTGGTCGACGGATACTGAAATTTTAGCCATTTGCGTTGGTAGGCTTGCCGACTGTTAGCTGGCTTAAGTTATTGGTCCTCGCACCAAATTTTCTGTGGAGTTCATGAATGTTCTAGCCGTTTTAGAATTATATTTTAAAAGAAATATATTTTTTTCGTACTATAATTTTAAGAAGGTGAAATTTTTAAATAATTTTATAGGTGGTGTAAATAGCAATTTGAATGTAAATAGTTATATTTACATTATTGTGGTCAAATGTAATTTAATTACACAAAATTAAATATTGGAATTATATTATTTAATTTTTTGATTAATTCTAATATTTGATGTTTTGTGTAAATAGATTATATTTGATTATGGTGGTTTTATATTCTAATTGTTATTTATACTATTTATAATGTTGTTGAAATTTTATCTTTTTAGAATTCTAAGGTTATTTATACCTAAAAGTGGTATAAATAACAACACATTATGCACACGTTACTTGTTGAATTTTTGAGTTTGATCAGTGGGCACAAGTTGGGCATTGAATAACTATGTTGTAGATGAGTGTACTAATTGCTTTTAGATACAATGTGATATGTGATATTTGATGTTTTGAATATGGCTGATAGAACGATATATTTATTGCTTTAATCTGGCCCACCATGTAACCTATGCCCCAGCAAGATATGCTCTAAACTATGCCCTTTGAATTTTATGGGCATTTTTGGTTTTGATAATATTTGGGATTGGTGATTTGGCGATTGATATTAGATTGGCTCTAGCATTCGTTTTGTCAAGAGGAGTTCGAACTATTAACTAGAATGACCAGAAGATATAATTCACATTAGAGCGAAGGATACGGAAGGTTATCATCAGCTAGTCCGGTGTATAGATTGTTAGACAGTGTACTGTACTTCATGCTGGAATAGAAGTACTATTGCTGTTGATTTCTTAGTTCATCATTGAATATTTACAGAAGAGTGTAACATGTTAGTTTGAATTATTAATTTTATATTGTCAAATACTTTCTATTTGATTTATTATTCTTTTAAAAATTGATAAATTCATCTACATTTTGTTATTTTTGTCAGACAAAATGTGATTCTCATTCAAATAACAGAATTTTGTTGAATTAGAATAATAAATGGAGTTGGTTTAAAGTGTCACATTAATGGTTTTATAGCATGTCTATAATTTCTCCCCTTAACTTTATTAAGCACAAATAGAAAAGAAAAAATGGTACACCATATTGTTCGCTCGAGTTACATGTGCAGAAAACCTTTGTTCTTTTCCTTTGAACAAAATCATATAAAATGAGATGATATTCCAATGCATCTCCTGGGTTGTAGCAAAAACTGTTGAGTATATATTTTTACCATCCTTGTCCACGAGACGGATAAAGTTAAAATTGTAGGTTAGTTTCCCAAAAAGTAGTGTGCAAATCCTTCAACTACATGTTGGTCGTGGCGTTGGACGCCCCAATCGGAGCTGGAAGGTGACTTGTACAATATTAGGTACTGTCTCAGTAATCAGTTCCTCTGCCTCACCGGCAAGTTTTTCAGCATCTCTGGACGAAGAAGCATAAATACAGAAAACATTAGCCACTAGTGGCAAAAAAGTTGGTATAGGTAACACTCGGTCTGTATCTGTACCTAATTAAAAGTTCCTGTGGCATGGAGACTTCGACTTGAAGAAATATCTGCCCTTGCAACAGGTGGGGTGTGATTCGCTCCACAACAATTCTCTGAAATCCATACAAAGATGTTATGGATTCTAGGTATTAATGAGGAAGAGGACCTATGTTGTAAGATTGGAACATGTGGACTAGTCTGAAACATGTTGTACCCAATTTCTTTTGGGTTAATTCCATTTTTTATCTTAGATTTATAGGTGTAAGTCCTTTTTCAAAACATCCCCTTTTGATCCAGTATTATTGTGCCATGACCATTTTTGGTCATCCATCAACAAAATCATTGAAATGTCCTTAAATATTAGGATATTTTGATTTTTTTTATACAAAGTGAGTTGAAAACTTAAATGGTGGATAAAAAATGGTCATGCCATAATAATACTAGGACGAAAGGAGGATATTTTGAAAAGAAAAAGATTAAAAGTGGATTATCACCTATAAATCTAAAGACCAAAAATGGAATTAACTCATTTCTTTTTTAAGGAGAAAATGTATGTATCACCTTAGAAAATTTTGATGACAAAATATTGGAAACACTGTTAGCGAGCTCTATATGCTCGAAAGAATTTCCATTCTTGCACCCCATCTGTTTGTTGTTCTGCTGATGAAGATGTAAAGTTAAAGGATCTGCCAAGGAAAAATGATAGTAACAAAAAGAGCAAATAAGTGGTCTTGTGCAAGTCTAGACACCAAGTGAAGAAAGAGATAGACATTTATCAAGGAGATCTAAACAGCTCTACGATAAAGTAAAATTTACCAATGTGTACAAAGACTTCGACTACTTCAGGATGTGACCGCTGAAGTTCATGTCGAACAAATTCCCCAACTTCATGTGCAGCACTAATACTAGAAAAGGGATCTACCTGCATAAAAAGAACGGAAAATTAGATCATTTTAATTGTAATAGCTGTTGAGACAAAGTAGAACACCGTAATTGCATTATAAATAGTATCAGGGAAATTCACCAACCTCAATATTAACATCAAGATACAAAAAGGAACCTGCTCTCCTTCCTCTAAGGTGATTGCATCCCTACAAATGTCAAACAGGAAAAAATAAAAAACCATTTAGGAAAGGCATTGTTTACATGATCATCTGCTTTTAACAAGATGCTCATTAGTGATATCATACATATTCCTAACAGCAAAATAAACATTAACCCATGCCTTGAGTTTAAGAACAAGTGGTCTACACCCAACCCCAAGGGATGGAGCATGTAAGATGAGAAGTGAAAATTCCTTAAGCCCATGAAGGGTTGATGCAAAGAGGAAATGTATACACTATGAAATTAAAAAACAGCTTATATGTTTTGGGAGAGGGACAACTTGCCTTAACCCCTTCAACTTGTAGTATTGTGCTTCTAAAAGGCTCCAAATTATGTGAGGGGATAGCAGCATCAACCAATTCCAAGACGCTAAAAATTAAGATAACAATTAGATATTTAAATTTGTGTTTTGCCCGGTACCACACACCAGACACTTCCAAGATGGAGATGCATTCAACCATAAAAAGACTTCATCCAACATTGGTCACCCAAGCTAGCAAGAAAGAAACAATACTTCCACAGCTCTTAGAAAGAAGAAAAGAGCAAGGAGTAACACATACCTTTGGTAACCAGTTTCCAGTCCTGCTCTTAGGATCATACCAGCAACAATGAGTCCAGCAAGAGGATCGAAGAACTTAACCCCCAGAAAAGATCCACCTGATCTCAGGAAGAATAGTTCAGTATGCGTTTGTTAAATCAATTATGATAATATCATGAGGTTTAAAAGAGCAGTGGTAAAAAAACACAAATAAACCTCCAGGACTAAACACACAATAAGAGCAATTAACATATACATAGTAGTATTTCGCAAACTTGGAAATATAGTAGCACAAAGTGAGACTTTATATGAAGATTAAGGTTATTACCAACCCCTATAAGAGCAACTAGTGAAGAAACAGCATCAGCTCGATGATGCCAAGCATTAGCTTTCATTAGCCCACTCCCTGTCCTCTCCCCAGCTCTCTTTGTTATCCAATACAATCTATAAGAGAGAAAAACATCAAAATAGCATATAGAAGCAAAAATAAAATACAGAGTAAAATAAAGAAAAAAATAGTTTCTATTCAATGACAGTACAAAATTTTTAGTCATGCATTCAATACCACATTCATACTACTCATAACATAAAATGCATCATGTTGAGAATCTTTATATTCACTAGTTCTGAGGATATAATAAAAGTACCCTAACACAAGAAGACTGACCAGTTACAATACTAATTCATGCCATAGGAAGTCCTGATACTAATTCTGTCATGTTAATGATTGAAATAAATCATACCCTTCCTTAACAGCTATAGACAGTATAGTCATATTCAAAGCAAGAATAGGGTGATCCATATCAATTCCATGATGATGTCCACCTCCACCATGATGGTGTCCATGGATGTGTTGATGAGCTAGTGACTGGTTAACCCCTTCAGGCACTGCTGACCACAATCCCTACCAGAAGAATATGCAAAATTTCAACCAAAAGCCCAAAAACCATATTATATGTAGAAAATATACCCCAAAAAAGGTATCAGTTAATGGATTCAGTTTCAGGCATAGCCAGAGTTCTTAATTAACTGGTTGTAATAACTCAAACACTAAAGCAACTTAATAAGCCGACACATACCATCAACATGTCTAAAGCATGCCATGCAATGCCTCCCCCGGTTGCCAATAGCATAACTGAAATTCCAAGGGCACCTAGAGTCTCAAATTTACCATGCCCTGAAACATGAAGAAAACCAATTATGGAACAGAGACTAATGATCCTGAAAATGACACTAAAAATCTAATCTAAAACCCATAAAGTCTAAGTATCACCAACAATTTCATATCACACCATCCAATAACTAGAAATCTCCAGCAGAAGGAAACAAAACCAATGGAATCAAAACAATGAAATAGGAGGCTAGCAAGCCAATGCAAAGCTGATAACACAGGTTTCATAATATCATAAACAATGTAATATCAATCGAGTAAGGCGTAGATACAGATCAAAAGCGACCATATGGGTGTTCCTTGTCCTTTGGAGCCTTCGCAGCTTTATACGACAGCAATGCCACCCCACTCAGAACCTAACACACAACATAAAATTAAAACACAGCATGCTCGTCATGTTAGCTGCACATCATTCAATCAAAGATACGCGTACTCACAACATCGGAGACGGAATGAGCAGCATCGGCAATAATGGCGGTGCTTCCACAGACGTAACCGGTGAAAGCTTTGGCAGTCGCCAAACCAACGTCGGCGGCTAGGCCGAGTCGGAAAATCTTCTCGCCTTCCTCTCCCTGATGATCGTGGTGGTGCGAATGAGAGTGACCGTGGCCAATATGCCATCTCCTCTGAATCAAAAAGCTAGGGGATTCGCCGTACTTGATCGACGGATCACCTAGCTGAGGACTCACAACCTGAATCACTGGATTCAAGTAGCTATAGCTTTTCGCGTAGGTGTTACGAATACGATTTAGGTTAGCTGAAATCATTCTAGCCGTCCCCATTTCTCTGCGTTGAAGCTTCTCAGATTGATCTCCGAAGACCGCTGAAACCAGAGATGCTTCTCTCTACTAAAGTATTCTAGAAAAATAAAAAATAAAAAATCAATTTCCCAATTTTGTTTTATTAAAAAATTTGAGTGGGTCCCGTTGAACTAGCTCAATTAGTTTGTCCAATTTTTTAAATTATTATAATTATTTTTCAATAAGTTGAATCTTCAACTCCAATGGCTCTACACCTTAGTCCGACAAAATATTTGGATAATGTAAATTATTATAACTCAACTGAACAAAGCTGCTCCACACCTTAGTCCGACAGAATATCTCGATGATGTAAATTATGGTAACTCAACTGAACAAATCTACTCCACACCTTAGTCCGACAGAATGTCTCGATGATGTAAATTATGGTAACTTACTCGATGATGTAAATTATGGTAACTCAACTGAACAAAGCTGCTCCACACCTTAGTCTGACAGAATATCTCGATGATGTAAATTATGGTAACTCAACTGAACAAAGCTACTCCACATCTTAATCCGACAGAATATCTCGATGATGGAAATTATGGTAATTCAACTGAACAAAGTTGCTCCACAACTTAATTCGACAGAATATCTGGATGATGTAAATTATAGTAACTCAACTGAACAAAGCTGCTCCACAACTTAATTCGACAGAATATCTGGATGATGTAAATTATAATAACTCAAGCTGAACAGATCATGGTAACTCAGCTGAACAGAAGCTAGACATTTGCTTACTGCGTACAATAAGCCTTGGACAGGAGTTATAGAGACATAAGCAAAAAGAAAAATTCGAGAGTGGACCAGTGGAATATAGTATTTTTTACTTTTCGAATATATACTTTCAATTTGTCTTTTTAGCTGCCCGTCCCCGTCCACGACGCTTCGGTTAGTACAGTTGATATCATATTCGTTTATTCTGTTACTGCGTGCGTACACTGAAGGCTGAAGCCATCATCCCATCAAGAGTGTTCGAAAATGTTAAGAAAATTGAATAAAGGTATTCCTTTTAATTTTTGTTGGTTTTACAACTGTAAGAGAATGAATGATGAAGCAATGTAAATCAATCAATTGACAAAACAAATAGGGTTACATTTCGCTACTGGCGAGCCTCTCCGAAAGCTACAACTCTACACTGACCACAAAAATGGGTTTATACCAATCAAGTCAAGCCAGAACTGTGGTCTATCTTCTCCGGTCAGACCATCTCCTGTTCACATTCCAGTTAGGATCATGGTAAGTAGAAGGATTGCGAGATGTCATCCTTTCTGTGGGGTAATTATTATTCATCCTGGGTTCTGAGTGATTCCACCTGGGAGCATATTCATGGGACCTAGCAGGGCTGTTTTCTGGACTAAATGACTCGAACCCATAATCGTTTCTTCTCCAGGGACCTGGTTGGGTCGTCGCCCCTACATGGGGGTGGTTATAATTGTTAGAATTAGTCGGGGGGCCCTGCCTGGCTCCCCAATTCTGAGGCGGAAGAGGCTCGGGCACATAATATGCTTGTTGTGGCTGAGTCTGAACCCGGTGGGATGGCATCGCAGGTGCTTGTGGTGGGTTTAAGGATGATGGTTTAAACACCGCTCCATTCCTGTTTACCAGTAATTCTGATGCATTCATGGAGTTGGGAGGAGGAGCAGCCTGGTTAAGAGATGAAATTACAGGAGGGTGCTGATGATGTTCATGAAAATTCCTCCCGGTGGCTTGCAGCATCGCCGCCGCTTCCCGTTGTTGGGCAAATTGCGGTGTGAGCAACTGTTGAGCTGCCATGGCTGGATAGTGAGGCTGCTGTGCTGGAGTTACTGTAGCATCTCTCCTTGAGAATGGATTTTTATCGTACTCATCTGATTTCAATCCACTCTGCATGGGGGAACACAAGACGCTTGCATTAACAGAGGATCCAAAAATAACATGCAATGTAGGAAAATCAACTTTTCAGTTTATCCACTCTTATTATTATATACCATATATATATATAGAAGGAGAGTATTTTTCTTTTCTTTTTTTTTTGTTTTTTTTTTTTTTAAATCCATCTTCATTGATTATGTTGTAATCACACCCAACTGTCAAAGTATAATGCTGCATAGCTCGGAGGATGGAAGAGGAGCTACAATCTTGACTATGCAGTACTTAAGCATTTCTTTTTCTTTTTGTAATTTTTTTTTATGACCACCACAACTATCCCGGGGTTCTATTCGTGCATGATAGTCCAGACATCAAATTTCACACATCATGTGGGGGAGAAAGAGAGAGAGAGAGAGGGGAAAGAAAAGTGGAAAAATTTTAATAATACTCTTTCAAAAGTTGTACAAAATATGGTTAAATCACGCACCGTTCCAGGATTGCTGGAAGGAGTTGGGGATGGAAGAGAAACTTCAACCTTATCCTCGGCTCTTCTGCCCAACCCATTAGGATCACTCATCGATTTCAGTCCATTTGCCTTAATCATATCAAGCAGCTTCACTGTATCCTCACTTGACAGGTTACCAGCTTGGCCAGATGTCAAAGCAAAAACCAATTCTGGGTTTTTAAGTAGTACAGCAAGCAACTCTAGATCTGGTTCAGGCATGCTAGAATTCACATTCTGCGGCAAGCTGCTGGCAGAAGGAGCTGCTATAGTTTCCACATTTTCTGCCTGTGAAACCATAGTTTCTACACCATCCCCATCAGGTAATTGTTCTATTGGGATTTGAGGGGTTAGTGTGTCATCATAGTCCATTTCACGGTCCCACGGCTCCTTGGGATTCAATGGAATTTCATGAAGTGTCCTGTAAATAGTTTCCCTTTCACGATGAATTCTATTCTTCTGAACTTCTACCTCTTTACTATTTCCCCCAGTGCATATCTTCCATTTTTCAGAAATAACCATCTCTGCATAGAAGAAAACAAAGATGGACATGCTCAAAATCCAAATTGAATGAAGTTTTTTAGAAAAATGGACGGTCAAAATCTACTTCTAAAGAAAAAGAAAAACTGAAAATAAAAATATATTCTAGGGTACCCCATTTTTACCCATTTAAGCGACAGAAAAGGGCAACACTGCTTGCAAAACAGGATTTGCCTTTACATCTACTGTACAAAAAATACATTATACACTTATGACCGACTTCTATGTATTCCAGTAGCAGAAATATAGCCAAAATACAGCAGACATACTAAATTCTGACACACTGTATCAAATATTCCATGAACTTACAGAATAGCTTATTTAGATTATTTTTTAAAAACAAATAGAGACAGCACTGCACTACTCATACTTCAGATTTGAACAGCTTGCTGAATTGATTCACAACGTAGGCATCCTTTAGCAAATGGGAAAAGAACATTGGTTATCCAAGTAAGCAAGAGTGAAGAGAAAGGAACAGTTAACATGTTGCAATCAATTTTCCGCTCCTTATATTTATGTGATCAATCAACAAGAAATAAGGTAAATGTACCTGGTGGAGTGCGCCATGGAATCTGAATTGCCTTGCACTTTTTGCCTGGCGGAGGTTCCTCAGCATCCAAACTCCTCTTTTGGTTTAGAGGAGTCTCATGTTGATTTGATATGTTGGACTTAATATCAGCAATCTTCTTCTGTTGATCAAATTTTGGCTTCTCTTCATCAATTGCTGGCTTCTCTACATCAATTGTTGGCTTCACTTCATTAATTTTTGACTTCTCTTCGTTAATTGTTGGCAAGTCATGTGTTTTAGTAGTTGAATGGAAAATGCCATCTTGAGGAGCAGCATTTTTATTTGGACCTTCAGGCTTTGGCTGAGGGCTATGGTCAGTTGATGTTTTACTTTTACCATATTTACTCTGCAAAAATTGTGCACGAAGTTTGGCTTTTTGAATATCATCAGCTGAAAGTGGTCGGCCTTGAGTTGCAGAAGCTGTTCTTGCAACCTGGGGATTCCTTCCTGGCATTCTTTGGCCAGGTTGTTCAACCAACTGAACCTTTCTGCGCTCTCGAGTTTCTGTTATTGGTTAAGGAAATTAATAGCAGCATTATAATTGACATCTCTTATGAGGATGCAACACAAACTCACATTGCAATACTCGTTTTAGATAGATAATAATATTCGAACAGCATGCATGCACATTCTGATGCATCACAGAATGGTGCAAAGTTATCAGAGTGTTAATAATGCTTGTAACTCTGCAAAAATAAGGCTATTTCCAAAACCAACCATAAAAAAGTATGTTGGTACACGCAAGATTTAGTGAAAATACATCTTTCCTTGGGGGAATGATCATCCAATTGGTATTCAGAGCATTAATAATGCTTACAACTCTATAATAGAAGCCACTAATCATCATTCAATAATAAGCCATTGGGTAAGTTATTGAAAGTCTCAAAAAGATAAAAGTGATATCCAAAACCAACCATGAACATGTGTCCACAAGACTTCTCCCAGTGAACTCTTGAAACAGAACTAGGTCTATTTTCAGGGGAAAACACTCTAATGGAAATTAGCACATAATACCAGAAGCAAGTGAAAGACGGGCAGGAAGATAATTTAAGCCATCAGTATTATTCAATAGATTGTTTTATCCCAGTTCCCAAATACATAAGTTTGATACTAAGGAACATAGTTCCCAAAAAATAAAGCTGGCATGATGGCACATAATTCCAATGATTTCTCCAATTCCATCCAAATTTAGGAATTTCCTCCACTCAGCACTACCTCATGTGCACATTTTTTAAGGACATGCAACATTCACTTGCTAGAATAACAAAAGTTTAGGGTAATGAAAAAAATTAATCAGAATTACCACAAGTCCGCCCGTAAATGCGCAAAAATAGATAACAATAAGTTTGAATAAGAGGATTTGCTTTAGGGCTGAGTTCATCAGCCCTCCCACTCCCAATTTATATGTGCACCGAGTGTACTAAAGTTCTGCCACATCCATTTTGTTATTGCAAGGACATTATGCATATTAGTAGTAATTCTAGATTATATCTACTAAGGATACGGGCTGATAAAGCACCTCTGCCAGTCTTCTTATTAGATTCTTCTACAGAAGACGTGAGCAACTTCAACGGTTGAGTAGAACCCAACTTCCTGAAAAGAAAAAGAGTTAAAAACACCCCTCAACTGAATAGGGACAAGCAGGCAAATAAGAACATATACAATGCAACACATACCTCAAGTTCTCTGAAGTATCAAACTGTGATAGAGACTCTTCCTATAGAACAAGGAGAGGAGATTAAACATCACACCAAAATTAATTAAATCTACAATGCACTTCTATTATGAACTTACAAAGCCATCAACTTCAGCCATGACTTCACCAATGCTGCATACAGTAATAACCATTTGTCAGAAGTTACAAAAGAGCACCGAAAGGCATGGAATTCAGTGAAAGTAAGTTTACCTATGCTTCAACAGCATCTCATCATGTGCATCACTGGCCGATTTCAAACCATTAGGTTTCTTAGAAGACTGGTTTGCCAATTTTTTGCTCCATCTAAAAAGGAGAATCCTTGCCCTGTTTGAGATATCTGATCCTCAAATCAGAAAAATGAGATCCAGAATACTGGAGAAGTAAAACAAATTCCTTTTTGAAGGCCATTAGAAAAAGATATGCAACAAAAAATTCTAATACATAAATTCATTACACAAGCAAGTAGGTAAGAAAATGCTTGATGTGAGCATGTGCCTGAACTAGAAAGATATCAACTCAAACCACCTCATGTATTTCAGAATGCCACACTTTTCAAATCATCATAATCATTTCTCTTCAGTACATTTTGTTCTTCTCTTCACTCTTCAAATATAGGATTTTTTGTTTTTTTTTTTTTAAATTATCCCATTCCTCCAACTCTGATTCAAAATACTGTAATATAATTTCAACATATTGACCATCACAGAGGCTCAAGATAATCCACTATAAAGGTACAATAATAATTTTCCACTTTTCAAGCAAAAGATAATCATTCTATAAATGTTTAGTACTCTATTTGTTAAGCACAGGAAACAAACATTAAATATTGAGATCAAGCAGCAATAATTTGCAATAGCATCACACCTGGTGTTCTATAAAACCTCAGTTTATTAACACTCTGCAGAATAGCTGACATATGTGCTGGAAGAGCTTTATGTAGAGGCAAGTGGCAAAGTACCTGTTAAACATTAGTGAGTAGTGACTAACTGTTAAATCCCATCCATGGATTAGGGAAAACTTCATGAAGTAAATAGATAAAATGGAGAACATAGAAACCTTAAGAATGTGATGAAGAACACTGGTCTGCTCTTCCGTGGCTGCTTGACTCAACCAAGTTGCCAAGATCATTACACCACCTTTACTTAAAAACCTGAAGATACATAGAGAAAATAGATTTGTGAAAAAACAAGATACCATTCTATCAATAAGGTTTGGTACTTGATCTAGTTTAAGTTACAAGTACCATTGTAGCACTGAAGGGTTCTGTATTTCCAGGATCCAATCCATTAGTTTAACTTGCCCAGAAAATGTCTCTTCTTGTCTCATTAGAATAAATATGTTGTCAATAAAATCTTTGTCGGACTCCTCTACACCTGACAGGGCTTCATCCTGTGTTGAACATGATGGCGCCTCCACATTTGTAGGAGCCACACTGTCTAAGGGAACAGGATCAACTGGTAAACTGGCATCAGAACTTAAAGGTATCCCACCACAGGGTTCGTCAGAAGCACTAGACGTTCTAGCCTTCTCTCTAGACAGCCTGACTAGTTTCCTCACTCTTGTTCGCTGGGTGGTAAAAAAATCTCGAACCTATAGCCATAGGCATTTAAATAGTAAAACCAGATAAGAGAGCTATCAGGATATGTCAAACTCCACAAATACAGGCCAAATTTAGTATATTCTAAATTAACCTAACACTAACAAAAAGCTATGAGAAATCATTGTAGGAGGGATAAGAATATCATAAAAGGTAAGAAAAAGAGGACATGCTAATGAACATGTAGAGATATAGGAGAGAGATTCACAAAAACAAATATGGTGGCAAAAGTAGATAATATGGCAACATATATGTAATCTAATCAAACTTTTACATGCACTTTCCAAATATGAAGTGAAAGTAAATGCTATAGAATATGACCAACTACTATTATAAAATTTTATTTTACTAAGGAAAAGGGAACCCAAGGAGGTGAACAAAAATGAGAGAAACCTGTGTGACAGTAACTCCAAAAAGAGCACTAATTTCACGAGTTTCCTTCTTGCTAATTACATCTTTGATTGAGAAGACAGATTGCATATACTTTACAGCCTTGGGGTTCAGCAGATCCCTGGGCCTTTTCCCTGCCAAAGATAAATAAAAATTAAATATAGTAAATCTATCAGTACTAGAAACATGCCAAATTAGGTTGAAAAAACTCAATAATTAGTTTAAACATTCCAAATAAAATATTATTCAGAAAACCAAAATATACACAGATAGTTTTATTCATGAAATCACCTGCTAAGGAAGCACAACCAAACACCTAAATAGTGGGAAATTTATCTTTGTTTAAAACTAAGAAAATGCATACTTGTATATATTAGATACAAAAAATTAGACACACACATCCAGAGTTGGAAATACAGTGATGATACTTCACCAAGCTTTAATCACAACCATCTCACATAATCAGCAAAGGGAGTTACCAATTTTAATTGACAAAGCTCCAGCAGCCTGCAAAGCACAAAATTGAAAACTATCAGCCAACTGATATTTCGCCAAAATCATCCCATAAACAGTTATCGAGATTTGCTTTGAGGACTAGAACTATAATAATTAAGATGGACTCTCAGAGCTCCTTCAACCTTTAAGGTGAAAGCTATGAGTTTTCATTTGTGCTGGTAAACACAGAATCTCACTCTGCCAATCGAAGAAGCTCAATAAAATTCACAATCAAAAGCATTGTTTATTGTTCTTCAAATGAAATTTTCTGGATGGAAAGAGATCAGCAACTTCAACAGACTTAATTAAGGGGAGTTTAATGCAACCATCAGTTCAACCAATAAAAGTAATTAAATAGTGGTGAAGGCATGTTTTCCCAATCTCACCTAGTATCTAGGGTTTTCCGATTTCCTCAACCAACAATAAGGAAAGGAACAGTCACAAATTGGGAAAGAATAATTGAATTAATACAATACTAAAGGCAACAACGAACCATCTCCTGAGACAGGGGGTTGACCCCGGTGAGTTTGCATTGAGTAACGACAATGTTCTCGAGATGATCGACTTGGCTGCGGAAGAGCTCTCTCTGCGAGGCCAATAAGTCGAGAAACGACGTCGCAGGGCTGGAGACCACCAGCTGCAATTGATTCTCCATTTCCTAATCCTATAACGGAACCTTCAAATTGAAATTGAAATTCAAATCCACAGATCGAAGCAATTCATGAGGTTTTCGATTGCAGAGGCGTAATTCAAAATCCAATTTGCTTTCAGAGGCTTCGGCGAGTGGGTAACTAGGGCTTTCAGAACACAGAGAGAGAGAGATGAGCCGAGCGCGGCTCAATGGAGAGTACAGAGGGGCTCCGCGAATTTGCGAAAGATCGACGGTGCAAATGAGAGCGATGAATACGCAATAACACCTGCAGGCGATGTCGTAATCAGCTGACTAACTGAGATAAAGTGCACGTAACGGTGTTAACTCCTAAAAAACTATTCCGTACCCTTTTTGCTTTTTCTTTTCTTTTCTTTTCTTTTATTCCGGGGGTTAAAATGTTACGGAGTATTTTGCAAAATAAGACCCTGTAGTATTGCTTCTTAACATTTTTAGGCCCCAAATTTTATATATATATATCGTTCGACATAATAGTGATCCTACAAACTTACGGCTACATTAACATTGATAAATACAATTTAATCAAAGAGCTCACTTTCACAGTGACTATTAACGCTCGATCATGTGTCTTTGCCTACAATCTAACCAGTGTTCAGTAAATACCCACGAAGAACTTACTTCCACAACGACTACTAATGCTCGATCATGTGTCTTTACCTACAATCTACCCATCAAAAATCAACTGAACTGCCCTTGCAAACAATATTATTTGTTTCCTGTTTTGTGTTTTTGCAGGTACATTAAAGGAAATAGGACAATTGGTTATGAATCTGCAGCGTATATATGGAATGTCATTTCTCATGAACTGTGGAAAATTTATATTTACAAATGATTCTCAAATAACCTTACAGAGGCCTATAAACACAGGATAGTGGTGGTTTAAGGAGTTAGTTTTTACTTCAGTGCAGCTAGCAACATGTACATGAAGGGGGAATTTTGAATCAACTAATTGAGACCGTGTTAAGACAGGGACATTTTCCAAGTCAAATTAAAGAGAGATCTGGTTGCACACTTCTATGCTACCACCATGGCTCCAGGCATTTTTCGCCTCTCAATCCATTCCACATCCTGGAGGTTGAAATCAAGGGACGTTTTTAACAGGTGAGACACCCTCATTGTATTGATCGCTTTATATTCTTGAATCTGCAGCTGCAAAAGCTGTCCTTCATTTCCTCGGGGCTTCCATTGCAAATGCAAAACTAACTTCCTGTGCCAGTAAGGGAACATAGTTTGTAAGTTCCTTGAAATAAATATGCCAGACAAAATTGTTGAAAGCCATAGCTAAAATCAAGTATAGACATATTATATTATATAATAAGATTGGTGGATGGTTGCAAACTCAGATTGCTATTAGTGATGCTAGAGCATTCAAATACTGTTGAAAGGGGGATTGGAGCCTAATGCATGCAGGGTTTAACCGCATATGGGCTATACTGGAATATCTGATCAGAAACTGTACAAAGGAAATGAAAAATAACAGGTTTTCTACATTCTTTATGGAAGAGTGATAGACAAATGCTCTCATCAACTAGTATCAGTAAAATCATTTCTTGATGGAGTTGAATTCTATGAATACTTACAGAATTCAGTAGCGGTGTGAAGTTGGAACGATTTCTTGTTGATGAGCATTGTTGTGGAGTTTTTAAACAACTATGTTGGCAACCACTCCGGCTCTGATCTTTCTTACCCTGCTTATTCATTATTGCATTACCTTCAAAACCATCACCTGACATCAGATTCATAGATGCCCCTTTTTGAGACCCAGGAATTGATTGAGGGTATGCTACTGTCTCATTTTGACTTCTAGTAGGTAGTGCCATGGTAAAAGTGATTTCCCTCTCACAGGGGTTGAACTGTAGAGCCTGCTCCTTGACCAGTCCAGGTATAATGTCTACTCTAACATCTCTCATTATTGTCAGCACAGTTTTGAGTGAATTTCTTCTTCAGTGCTCGCATTCAATAATCTTTCACAGAAATGTTATCCAAAATATTACAAGTTCTCTCATGAATTCACCTCAGACTCAACCCTGCCACCTGCCACACAGCTGTTGGATCTGGAACTAGAAGTTAGTAGGATCAGTAACCTAACTGAGAGCTTGGCAACGTTACTAGTTTCTGCCAGGGTGACATAGTAACACTATTACTGTACAGATGTACAAGGGCAGTGAAGAGATGGATCTTATCATTCAAAGGGAGTCTATAATGTTCTCAAAGTGATCCTCTGCTATGTTCTTCCTCAATTGACAGTAGAGTGGAGTGACTTCCAAGTTAACACTTCACCGGTTTGATCTTGTCCATCGCAATGCGCACAAGGCGCAGTAATCCATCTACATCCTGAAAGTTGAAATCAAGTGCCCTTTTAACAGATAAGATACCCTCTTTGCATTTATCATCTCCTGTTTTTGAATTTGCAGCTGCAAAAGCAGCCCTTGATTTCCTGGAGGCTTCCATTGCAAAACTAACCTCCTGTGCCTGTAATGAAAGTAGTGTAAGTTCCAAGAAATAACTGAGCGTCTGTGCCAGACCAAACTGTTAAATATCATAGCTAAAACAACTACAAGTGAAGAATATAACATTGATGGATGGTTGAAGACTCAATTGCTATTAGTGGTACCCACTACTGCTTTCAATTACTGTTGAAAGGGGATTGGAGCCTAACACACAGGGTTTAACCACAAAGCCATATTGACAAATCCAATCAAGAACCTCTGAGATGTACTTAGGAAATGAAAACCAGGAGGGTTTCTACATAGCCAATGGTATTCCAATAATCTTGTAGTCAAACATTCTTTGAATCATTTAGCCCCCAAACACTCTCATTGGCTCAACTAGTTTCTGTAAAATGATTACATGAGGGAGTTGAATTCTTTTGAATACTCACAAAATTCAGAAGCCGTGAGAAATTGGAACGATTTCTTGTTGTCATAACATGAGCTCCAGTCACTTGAGGAGATCCAACACCTTTGGCCAAGCCACCCTTGTCTACAGCTGATGGATTGTTCAAATTGTCAACATCAGAGGCAGAAGAGGAAGGAGATTCGCCTAGGATACAATAATAAATATCATAAGAGACTCATTAAAGAAAAGCATGACTGGTAAAGTGCACAATTATCATCTTAAATTACATGACAGCATGACTTTGGGATTAAAAAAAAAAAACCCACACTGTAAATTACCATGTTGTCCCTGTTTAGCTCAATAATAACAAAATGACAACGTAAGCATTGTGGAATAAACTCTCATCCTTTCACATATCACTTTGATTTGTGCACTCAAAACCTATGTAAAAAAAGTTAATTGGTTATCAATCTCTTCTGCGTATATGGAGAGTCATTTTTCATGAAATGTGGAATATTATATTTACAAATCATTTACTAATAACCTTAAAGGCCTACAAAACAGGAAAGTGATGGCCTAAGAAAGCATGTAACTTCATCACAGATAGTAATATATATGCATAAAGATGGAACTTTGAATCAATAAGTAGAGACTATGCTGGACATTTTCCTAGTCACCTGGAGGAAATATTTGCAAAGCTGCCTGTAACTCATTTCTATATCTGTTTGCATTGGAATGCGAGGAATAAATTACACGCATGTATGCGACCTCCATGCATTTGTATGCAAGTGCAGCAGCAGCCATGTCCTTGGACCTTTCATATTCATGGGCACAAAACCTATTAATAAGACAATAAAGGAAACCAAGGTCATCTTTTGGCATTCTTACTGGAAACATCTATATAACACTGAAAAAATAGCATTGTAAATTGCAACATCTAATCTCTAGAATCATCTGTGGAATGAATCATTTTCAGGATCACTATAGCAAAACCAGACACACAAATGAGGGACATCTAAAGTGTCCTCAAGTCTCCCAGTAAATGGCATATTGCTTCTTGCTTGTAAAGCTGCTGCAAGCCTCGTGTTTATGATAAGCCTAATTACTTAAAGGGTATGCAATGCAGGAGATCCCAAATGACAGGTGATCTATAAGCAGATTATCACTCTATGATATCCGTGAAGGCAAATGCAAATAACTTGAAGTACAACTCACTCGCAGAGTTTTGCAGTGCTACTATAAATTTGGCCCGACTGAGTCATCTCATTGTGCTTCACACTATCATTGTTGCATGATTCAAATAAAGCTGCTCCTGTGAGAAACTTTAACGCAGCCTCGAAATAAAGACCCGTGCTGTCACTTGATCCAGAATTCTGGAACAAATAGACTAGTTAGGCCAACATTTTTGCAAATTAATGGTGGCAGTAACTTGAAGAGTAAAATCATTTCCCCATCTCCTTTTTCATCTTTAAGGAGATGAGTATAAATTTTATTGACCTTTAGACGATCAGCCAGGTGTTTAAGGTTTGTCGCTTCTTTTACAGCATTTGCAGCAGCTTGATTGGAGGAATCCTTACGAACTGGAGAAGGAGCATCAAGATCACGAACTTTGGTTAACATTGCAGTGGAGTGTCTTGTACTAGGTTGGTCCCTACTCTGGCTCTGACCTTTCTTACCATGTTTATCCCTTGAAGCATTATCTTCAAAATCATCAACTGACAAATTTGTAGCTTCTTTTTGAGACCCAGGAATTGACTGTAGACATGCTGCTGTCTCATTTTGGCTTCTAGCAGGTAATGGTAAGAGTGACTTCCCTCTCCCAGAGGTAGGAACCCCATTTGTTTTGTCAGAAACAGGCTTCTTAGTCAATCTTCCATCATCTTGATTTGGAAGCAGAGCTTGCTCCTTATCCAGTCCAGAAATAGTGCTCTCGTTCAATAATCTTTCAGTAGGATCTTTCACAGAATTGCTATCCGAATGATTAACAGTTCTCTCATGAAATTTATTCTGTCCAGGCTTTAACTTTTCCCCAGAAGAAGGCATTTGATCTAAAGGTTCATTGACAGTACATCTGTCAAAATCAGATCTGTAGCTCCTATTCTTGTCTTTAGGTTTAGAAGAGGAACCCTTCCCAGACTTCTTCACGACAATTCCACTATTACCATGAAGACCATCATTCCTTCTTCCCTTGTCTTGGCCTCGTTCCAAATTCTGTGTTTTGGAAGCATACTGGTCACATTGAGGCAAGGGTTCTACAGCCGCATTTTCATCATGTGTTACAATAACAGGAGAAGGTGCAGTGTCTCGCCTCACTTTAGCATATGATATATGACCCAAATCTGCTTCCTGGCAATCAAGAGAACCATTATGCCCAGCATTCAAAGTTTCGCCCTTCTTAATCATTCCAGATTGATCACTGCCCCCATCATTTTCTCCATCTGAAGATCTCCGAGGAGTAAGCACGGATAATGATCCTGCATCCTGACAATCATTTCTTCTTGTTGAGGTGAATTTATCTACAGTAGGAATCCTCAGAGGAGATGAAGACACTGACTCTACAGGAGAAGCCCTCAGTTCCTGGAGATTGCTTTTGTTTCTTTGTGAACCAGAAACTTTAGAAGAACTTGAAGTGGCAGCCATGGAAGGCTGCAGAGTGCCCAAATGCCTTTTTGAAGAATCCATAGCATCTATGGTCTGCTGAGACTGAGTGCAATCCAGATACTGCCCTATTTGCTGGTCCTTATTTCTAACCCTTTCGTCTTTTCCTTCATTGGCTTTGTTTCCACTAGAATCTTTCACCTCAGATTTGGATACCCTTGCTCTCTTTTCTTTTCTTTGGCCATTTTCACAAGTTTCTTCAAGCAAACCAACAGAATCTTGAGAGTTGCATCCTAAACCAGGAAATGACCTACTGTTGGCCTCTGAATGGTGATACCCATTCCCCTTCCTCCTCCTCTTAGAAGAGTCTTTACTGTTAGACTTGCCAGCATGTAGTGATCCATCACTCGAACTAACTGGATTATGGATCAAGGGACTTTTATCTGCAGTTTTTGAATCTTTATACTTATATTTATGTCGATCCTTCATTGAAGCAATCGGTGCCATACCATTGCTTGAGCTATGCCCTGCATTCTCCCCTGCAGTGTCAAAGGTCCAATGTTCATCGTCATGATATAAGCCATCTCTTTTTACCTTCTTAGAGGCTCTAGAATTATCTAAATTGGTCTCTGGCTTGTTTTTCATCTTTGCATTTTTTGCACCTGAGAACATGAGATGTCAGTGAAATAGGTTACATAAATGCAGATAAAGGATTTTCAGAAAGCTCAACATGACCACTTCAAACAAAATACCTCCATCAGAAGAGATGCTGTCAAGCAACTTTTTTCTCTCTTTCAGTTTATTTCTTTGCTTCTCCTTAACTGAGGTACTTGATTGTATGGAATTCTTTTTATGCCCATTATCACCCGAAGGAGATTGGATGCTGTCATTTAAGCCTATATTATTTGAGGTTTCCTGAAAGATATTGATTTTACTTGAAGACTGCACCAGGCCTGCTTGTTTGCTTTCATCTGTAGGATCTTTTGATCCATATTTCTTCTTCCCACTAGCATCTGCAACTTGTATACCAAGAGTTCTGTTCTCCAAGCCTGAGTGAAAATCATCAACTGAAGCAACTCCTAAAAGCTTCCTATCAGGATATTGGTGCTGATTATTTGTTCGTGTTTCAGAAGCAGAGACAGCAATGGCAGAAGTAGGGAACTGGTACAGGGCTCTCAAAGCCTTTGTTGTCTCTTCCTCACTGATACCACAACGGTTCATCCCAGGCCTAGTGAAAAGTCAAACCAATTATACTAATGAAAAAAATGCATGACAGTAAGCTTTATGAGCAACATTTTATATTTAATCACAAACAACATTCAGGGGAATCAGTGCTAAGGTGGTTTTAAGTATCTGATAATATTTACTTGGTAAGTTGAAATGTGAGTCAGTATTATTGTATGGTAAAGTTGTATATTTTCTCATACTCAAAATAATGGTTAGCCATACTCAGTCAATCATGTTAAAAGCCCAGGCAATAGAACTTACAGCCAGTGAAGCATTTTACAAAGCCATTTCTTAGGGAGGCTTCTAGGATCTGTGCCAAGTGGAAGTAGACGCCATGTCTGACACTTGTCGCACATTACCCAATCTTCTTTAAGTACAGGAACCTCTGCTATTGGAGCATGAGAAGGATTGAGTTCAGTTCCAGTGACAGTTTTCATGTTTGAACCTAATCTAGGATGCTCTGTCAGTGCACATGGCTTTTCTACTTTTGAAGCATTAGATCTCACTTTCATCGTATCATTACATTCTACCTTGTTATTCTCATAAATAGCATCAGAATCCTTCAACAGTTCCAATGAATGTGTTTTCTCTGAACCAATTTTATCATCTTCTTCCTCAGCTTCTAGGTTCCCAAATAACTCAGTGTATGTATCTCTAGCTTTAAAATGGTTCTTGAAACCCTTTGAGTCACTTCTAGATGTATTTGTGTCCCTAGAAGAGCTCTTTTTAATCTTATGTCCTAAAGAAGAATCAGTTACCAAGCCATCATTCAGTACCTTCCCCCCATGGGCATCATGAATCTGAGGCCCTTTATGTTTCTTTTTGCCACCGGATGAGACTTGTTCCTTTGCCAGTCTCACACCAGCCTCATTTTTCGATGTGAACTTTGGACCAATTGATGGTTTTGAAACACCTGAGGCATCAATATTATGAGTTTTTCTACCTTTGTTACGCTCAGTATTGGCTGAAACATCAGATTGTTCCCTGCTTTTGTTGCCTTCTTTCCTTGGAAATCCTACACCATAGTCAAAATGGTTTGTTTTTTCACTTTCCAAAACCCCTCCAGATGAACTAATTATTCCATTAGATTTCTCCATCCCATCATTCTCTGTAGCAGAAACAAGCTCTAAATCTTCCTTGGCTGTATGATCAAAGGATTCTTCTTTCACCATACCTTGAATATTGGTCGCCAAATTATCAATTGACTTGGAATGACTTGCAGGATAAGAAACATCACTAAATGAATTAGAGAGAAGAGGGAGCTTCAAAGCTTTAGATACTAGTTCTTCACAAGCCAAGGTATTAACATCAATCTCCTTAGAAGGTACTCCTACATAATTCTGCATGTCACTGCTATAGCCATTTCCTATGACACCTTTCTCATATGACTTCCGTTTTTTCTCACTCAAGACTTTCCTACTTCCCCTAGTGCTATCAGAAGTTTCAGAGCTGGTTTTATGCACAGGTTTAGATCCACTTTTTCCCCAAGGCCAATCTTTTTCCATCAAATGAATCAAATCATCAGAAAGAGGAGATAGCAGTAAGCTTCCGTGCATTGGAAATGAGGTCATAATCTGTCGCAAAAGGTTAACAAATCAAAACTAGTAATTATTTGTCCCAAGAGCTCGAAAAATCAGGACTATGGAATCCAAAAGGAGACCATCACAAGAAATGAAAGATAGTTCTGGAGCACAACTCACCTGAAGGATGCTCGTAGGGGATTCATCTGGGGCATCCTGAAGGTCATGAGATAAACCTTCACTGTCTGAGGGACTATTATCCAAGGATGACGATGGAGAAACATCAAGGCCAAGTCCACTATAGAGCTCAGCATTTTTTGTGGTCGACAGATTTTCAGACCCAACTCTGATGCGCACTTTCAGACTTTTCTGGTCAGAAGGATCTGCAGGCTTCTTAAGAGTTTTACATATTGAAGTAGATTCTTCAGCCCGAGTGGGAGGTATGCATACGTTGATTTCTGAATTAGCTGTAGCAACCCTAGTTGCAGGTACCAATAAAGAATTTGTGGAAGTGACACTGGACCTTGATGAAACTAATGAATTTTGCCTACCGCCCTATATCATAAGACAACTCATTCTGCTCAGTTACAATTAGACCTTTGATGTCAGGCAACACACATTAACTCTTCCATACAGCAAAATAAAAAGAATACAAGCCAGAGGTATGTACCTCAAAGTGCGTAGTGTTGGGGGATCGTGGTCTGTTATTGTTCTGGACTTCTGGTGGATTCCTCAGATCAATTGCAGGAGACCGCTGATAAGTGGGCAAAAATGAACCATACCCACCAAATTTTGACCCTGCCAATAAATGCAAACTCCAAATCATGTACTGATGTGATGCATATTAACACAGCCAACATTCTTCCACTTCATTTTTCCTAGTTTTAACTTACCCAGATTCTCAGCTGAAACTCCTCCTTCAAAATCCTTTTGGAAATGTCCTAAAACATCTTGAAGTTTCACGTCCTTCAAACAATATAAAAATGGCAATGTGAGAGAGGCTAAATATAGCAAACTTACAGTTATGTTCTTAGTGTTGGAAACCTTCTTAGGTTAAATATAGCAATTGGAAAGTATTGTATGCTTGATTGTAAATTCACATCTGGAGGGCCAAAACAAGACAACTTAATAATGTTTAGTTAAGCACCAACTGGAGCTTATCTCAACAGGAAACCTATTAAACAACCAACAACGTCTAAAAGATTAAGATCCGACAACAAAAGCGTTTCTCAAATCTCAGCAACGGAATTAGCCAAACAAAAAATACGTTCTAAATCGAGGATTGAGCTGTCCACGCCAAAAAAGGAAACAAAAAACTATAACTACCAAAATAAGCTATGTTGAGAAGAATCGATGCTCAATTTGAACTTAAAGGGAAATTTTGTAAGGTGATGAGAAGCTTACTATGTAGGAGAGCGCAATATCAGGGTCAATGATTGAATCATCGTCACAGCCATTATTATTGTCATAATAGCAGGCCTCTCCTTCTTCAAGCTCAAGTTCTTCCATCTCTCTTCCAACACTTAGTTCCTTCCTCCCATCCCTCTCCCCAACAGAAATCATCAAAAAGCTCCTCCAAACACTCCTCCAAAGCCGCTCTTGACTTCACCAACAAAGCTATACATATACACCCGAATTTTCCAGAACCGCTTTTTAGAATAGAAAACCAACAAAAACCAGACAATAATTACTCCCGAATCAATCAGGATCCAGGAAAAAATAAGCTTTCAGGGGAAAAGCAACGATAAATATTTTATTTGAAATTCAAGGAAAAATTTAAGTTGAATCCGAGGAACTTGGGAAGATGATCCTGCAACAAACAAAATCGAATTACAGAACTCGGATCGCCCTGTGCGATCTCTGGAGCTCACAACGATGAGAAGAGAGAGAAAGCAAATGCGAGGAAGAAGAGAGACAAAGACCGGAGAATGAAAGAGAGAGAGAGAGAGGACTCTGGTTTTTGGTTTTGGTGTAAATCAGCCGCGTTCATTTTTATTTTTATTTTTTCTTCTTTTTTTCTACTTTTGTATTTATCGGGTTTTTAACAGCGCGCCGTAAAACAGAAAACACAATAGCTGTGCCTTTGCGGGCGGAGGATAAAACCAGCGATGATACACTCGGCGCGTGTGGAACGCTTCCTCGATATTATCCACGTAGCAAGGTGTTGATCAATATCCTTATATATTGGTATATTGAGTTCTATTAAGTGGACTCTCAATTAATAAAGTCCAGTGAAATTAAATGGTTCTTTTAAAAATTATAAATTTGAGTTTCAGTAGATGCGATATTGACTTTTTGTATTTTGATATTTTTAATAAATTTATTACAAAATTCAAATTCAAAAATAGATATAGTATTTTTCCTGTATATTTGCATCGGAAGGATTTCTAATAAAGTAGAGACTGAACTTCTTGATTTAAATCGATCAATTGTGAATAACATAATATTGTTGTGTGATTATTACTAAACATACACTCTCAAAGAGTAACGATATAAATCGATCAATTATGAATAATATAATATTGTTGTGTGATTATAACTGAACGTACACTCTCAAAGAGTAACGGTAAGTTTTTCCGATCACTCATAAAAGTTGTTTTTTTTTTCTATTACATTATAGTATCTGTTCATCTATATTTTCAACCTGTTAAAGCACAAAGAATCAACATCGCTTCTACTGAGATTCGATCTTATGACCTTCCATATAAAAGAGTCACTATATGTGCACAAGGTGCTTGGCATAAAAGTTGTATTTAATTCTTCTTGTTAACTAAAGTTGAAAATATCACGTGAAAGTACCAAAGTTGAAAAGGCATGTAGCGTGTTTAACAGTAGTTTGTTGTTGCCCACACCAATTCCGCGCTGCTGTTTAACAGTAGTTTGTAGTTATCAGCTATTTCATCGCCTAATAATATGTTGAAAATGACAAGTAATAATGCTTCAATAAATGATCCAAGTATGTGTCGGAATGTGGGTTACCCTTAATAATAACTATAAATAACCGGCATGGTTAAAAGTAAGCCAGGATTCATGTGACTCCGTATTTGACAAGTCTTGAGTCTAAGTATGGAAAACAAACAAAAATAACTGAAGGAACAGATCCATTTGAACGGCACGAGTCAACCCGTTGTGATCAAATGCCAGTCGTATGATAAGTATTGACTTGAGCAAATCTTCAAATGGATTCCGAGAATTATACCAATTATAAGTTGGCATCTTTGACTTGTCTATACCAATCTCCCAGTAAACAAGTTGCCCACTATACACCCAAATCCTTGCTGTGTTACAAACACATGAAGACGGCACAGAAGAGAGGAGTTTAAAAATCCCGATTTTAGTAAGAAATCGGGATGACTGAAATCAAGCCATTGCTCCAACAGACTCTGCAAGTTCCTGCAGTAATTCCTTCTGCTCCATAGTAGTGCAAGACTGCATAAAGAAATAAATAGTGTCATGCAGATTCGTAATTGTTAAACATGTGTTACAACTGTGATACAAGGATAAGTGGATTATATGATAGGCATGAAAAGAGATGATTATATCCAAAAGAATAATAACCTGAATAGCTGCATCGATGTCGCCTTCAAGGAAGGAGGTAAGTTCAAAATTCATTTTTAAACGGTGATCAGTGACCCTGTTGTCCTGAAAAAGGAAATCAAATAGAATTAGTTCCTAAAGAAGTGAAGAAACTTGAACTCCATTAAGCCCTACAAAAATCTCTGAAGTTGGAAAGATAAAAACAATTAGCTATATTCAGTGATTCCTTTTGCAATTAATTTGGTCACTTAAGTCTTCTCTACAGGAGACTCCAATTTAAGAAATTTTGAAATCCAACAGTTTGTTCACTAACACTACTGAGAGGATTTTTCACAACAAAAATAGGACTTTATAGATTTTCAGTTTTCAGTGGGGTACATAACATTTCAGCTCAAGACCATCAGAAGTTGCACCTTGAAGTTGTATGTCCGAATTTTTTCTGCACGAGAACCAGTGCCCACCTGCCATTGTACAAGAACAAGTATGATAAGAAAATGTCACAAATCTGCAATTTCCATCCCATCTGTTTACTGGAAAACAGCTTTAACAATGAATAATGCTATGATTTGGCCCAATATTCAAGCATTCATCTCTCACAGCTGTTTAGTATTTTCCAGACAAGCATATTAATTAAGTACTACTATACTGCATCTGTGTGTGTCTTTGGCAGTTTAAACAAACAAGATGGTGTACTTGAAAGAAAGGAGCTCTCACCTGCAATTTTCTTTGATTCCTAATCGACTCTTGCTGCTCCCTCACTTTAATTTCATACCTAAGAGAGCATAATTGTCATCAATCATGCAAGCATAACTTTCTTTTTTCTTTATCTCTTTTTATAGATCACCAGTAATGCTACGAAAAAATATCTCAATGGCATGTACAATTCAAAATGTCACTCACAGCTTTGCTCTGAGTAATTGGAAAGCTCGATTCTTATTTTTAAGCTGAGTCCTTTCTTCAGTACAAAAGATTCTGATTCCTGTTGGTTTGTGGAAAAGATCAATAGCTGTCTCCACCTTGTTGACATTCTGCCCTGCATCACATAACCAAGCATGTGAGTTGAGAACAATGGTCAGCAGTAGATAGTATGAATAATCCATCATATAAGCAAGCATGTGATTTGAGATTTGAGAACAAGTTCAGCAGTAGATAGTATCAATGATCCATGGAAAGAACTCATTATACCTCCAGCGCCACCAGAGCGTGCAGTTGTAAGCTCAATATCCTTTGGATCAATTTCCACCTCAACTTCATCAGCCTGAAACCAAAATATGCATAAAAGCATATTTAAGTTAGAATTACTGAGATTGCATGGATTATAAACTTACTCATATAACAATTACTTCAGAGTGACCTGCATTGTCCAAAATGGTATGTGGAACACCTCTTACAATGTGAAAACAAACTCACCTCTGGCATGATAGCAACTGTTGCAGTAGAAGTGTGTACACGGCCTTGAGTTTCTGTTTGGGGAACACGTTGAACTCGATGAACACCAGATTCATACTTCAATTTGCTATAAACACGTTTTCCTTTGATCTCCAAGACGCATGTCTTAAAACCCCCTATATCAGCCTAAGAAAGACAGGACAGTTATGCCAACAGTGGCATGGCAACAGAAAATGATTACATTCATAAAGCTAGCAGTATATTATTACCTCCGAGCACGAAACTAGGCTGTGCTTCCATGAGTTACGTTCACTATACTTTTGATACATACGTACCTAAAAGATGTAAAAACTTAGTGGAATTAGTTTCAGTGTGAAGAAACCAAGCATGTTGCAAATAAAAAAAACAAGACCTGTCAATAATGTTTATAATAAAGATAAAGACTAACAGTTTCTGATTACCATAATACAAATTGCAAAGTAATGCTGCTTTTGTTATGTCAATTATACATGTCCATGTTCCATGTTAAATGATCACAAAGATATAGCATATTATTTGCATTATATTAACTGCACTAGGAAGGACAAATGGAACATCTACCTACAAGATCACCGGCCCAAATTCCAGCCTCATCACCACCTGTACCCGCCCTCACTGTGAAAGAAATAATTAGTTTCTTTACAGATACATGAAAGAAACAATTAGTCGTATTCACTAAAATAAACATACATGTACTGACATAAGAAGACCAAGGAAATACAAATTTAGTTGAAGATGTTCAGAGCCAAACCATGTCCAGTTCAGGCATTTCTTCTCACACCACAATGTAGGAGCAATGTTTTACGCTATATCCACAACATGTAAGACAAAAATAACAAAAATTCTAGGAATACTATATGGTCCCACTAATGCATATATAGATTAATTCATCAAAACCAAGTCTAAACCTTCTTCAGTTAAGCACCCACAAAGCATGAATACATGATAACCACAGTAACTGAGTCTTGATGAGTCAATGGCAAAATGGGTCGACCGTAACCTCTCTATACCTAGACCGTCTTACGATCACACTTTCACAGTAATGATTCATATATTCCAAACCCATTTGATTTTTGCTATGAACCAAATTTCTTCCAAATTTTATTCATGGAACTAGAGTGTAGCATCATTTTCTGAATTTTAGAAACTAAAATGCAGACCTAAAAGAAATTCTACAAATTATGCAGGTAATCAGATTACTTAGAATATCCAAATTCCAAAATATAGAGAATGAACAAAATAATTACAACTAAAATGCAGACCTAAAAGAAATTTTACAAATTATGCAAGTAATTAGATTACTTAGTATATCCAAAAGATAGAGAATGAACAAAAATACCTTCAAGCATTATATTTCTTGAATCAAGAGGGTCAGTAGGGAGCAGCAGTACCTAACATGTAGGAAAAAGAAAATAGGAACTTCAAATCCGAAAATGTAGTTGAGGAACTGAATCTATATAAACTATGCCAGAAAAACATGAAAGAAGAACAGGCACTTCCTGGTTAGTTAAATTAAAGTCTACAGATTTTATTTACCTTAAGCTTCTCCTCAAGCTCGTTCATTTGTTTGGTTAAGGTTTCAAGTTCTGATGCTATCATCTCAGCCATATCTTCATCGCCACCTTCGTCCTTTGCCAAAGCTGAAGTAAAAGTTAAAATGTCATGTACCCGTGAATATTTTTAAAATCAGCACTAGGGATTCAGAATAGGAAAAAATGTGTGTTTAAAATTGCACACAACAAATGGTATGGAAGAGGAAGAGTACCTTTTGTTTCTTCTAATTGTTTTTCACAATCCTTGAAATTCCTGTATGTCAACACAACCTAACAGCCAACAAGCATCAACAGAATATGATGATTAGAAAAAGATGTCAGGGGCATCTTATGAAAATTGTTAGCATATATTAACTACAACAAGGGTCAGTAAATTGTAAAGCATAAATATCATATCAATAATAATTTATGAAAAGGAACATAACCAAATGTGAAGTGCA